ACCACATCTGGCTACTTTTTTGTATTTTTAGTAGAGACAGAGTTTCACCATGTTGGTCAGGCTGGTCTCGAACTCAGGAACCCAGTACCTCATGTGATGCACCCGCCTTGGCCTCCTAAAGTGCTGGGATTACAGGTGTGAGCCACCACGCCCAGGTAGTCCTAGTTTACTCTTGCTCAAGCGCAATAATTAATAGTGGCCCCTTTCACTCCCAAATTTGCCAGCCTGGATGATCCCCTAAGTTAGGGGTCCCCCCTGTGTTTCCATGATCACAGTAACCTGTGTGGTCACCATCTTGATTGAGAACAGTAACAAGATCTGGTTCATCCAGATGAGCCCCGTGCTCAGATGATAGAAGCTCAGGAACAATGAGTTTAATACCTGGGGCCTCAGAGCCTGGGGCTTCAGACAAACCCCTTTCTCCTCTCAGAGAGGGTAGACATGACTTTCAGCAGGGCTGCTGCCTGCAAGATGCTGGCATAGGGCTCCTGAGGCCTGCTGGGAGCCACTGACAGGCTGAAGAGTCCTTCCAGCCCTTCATGGCTCACTTTCTTGTTTTCATCTGCAGGCTACCACAGGCTTGGGGCTGGCTCCTGGATGCACTGAGATAGCAAGTTAGGAGGTGGGGTGGCTCTGCCATATGCTCAGACCCAGGGCATAGCAGGGGCAGCCCTGGGGCATCCTGGGCTCGAGATCTGTTCCTGACAAGTTGTGTAACCTGGATGGGCTCCTGCATGCTCTCAGCCTCAGTTTCCCACCCATCCGATGAAGGGTTAGTTGAGGGTCTGTATGGGCCTGGCCAGCTCCTGGCAAATCACCCTGCTGCAGTGCTGAGGGAAGCAGGTGGGAGCAGTGAGGCAGGGGTGAGGGGTGGAGAGGGGACTCTGAAGGTGGCCAAGTACATTATTACCACAGGAATATTAACTGCCCCCGTCACTTTTCCTAGTCTGGGAAAGGCCATACCCATAAATTAGGGCTGAGAGTCTGCCAGGCAGTGGCTTAATGAAGAAGGAGATGGACTTCAGGGAGAGTAGGCAGTGCCTCCAGAGGTCACATGTCCAGCCCGAGCCCGGACAGAAGGAACCTGGAGCCAGAGGCAGGCAGGGGTGTCCGAGGCCACAGTGTCAGGCTGGGCCAGGAAGGCAGGGGCCAGTTCTGCTGCGGTCACTGCTGAATCCCCAGACCCTGGCACATAGTAGGGTCTCGACCAGTATTTCTGGCTAAGGATCAGGTGTCATGGCAAGTCAGGTGCTGAGTTCAGACTCAAACCCAGTCTTCCCGACTCTAGCTAGGTCCTCCCTGGTTCCCACCCCAGGTCTGAGGGTGCGAGTAGGTGAGGGGGCTTGGAAGCGAAAGACTTCTCAAGGAGACGTCTTTGAGAGGCAATTTCATGTGTTCATGAGGTCACGGAACCTGGGAAGTCTGCCACGTTTCTCCGGGTGTGCAGCTGGCTTCACGTCGCCCACATTTCCTGTAGTCACACGCATCTGTCCTCTCCTGCTGTCTGCTATGCCTGCTCTTTAAGGGGACAGCCTTGAGGTAGATTTCTCCCTCCATCATTTGGCTTCTGCAGGCAGACCCCAGGCCTCTGGGCCTCTGCCCACCTCACACTCCAGCAGCACCCCGTGTGTGTGATTAGAGGAGGAAGCCAGCCATTTAGTGGGGCCCTGGCACCTCTGAGAGAGCGTCTGGAGTGGATGATGTCAGGGAGTCCGGGCAGGGCCAGCCAGACGCCCCATCTCACTTCTTCCTACAAGGCTTCTCCGGGACCCCACCCCTTCCCTTCTCTCTCCGCCCCCATCTAGCCACGGCTTTGGTCTGATTCCTCTCTGTGTCTCCAGTGCCCAGTATGAGGCCAGGCACAAAAAGGATGGGCAGAAGGAAGGAACAACTAGGCTTCACAAGCAGGAGGCGCAGTGCTGCTCCCTGTCTCCGACCCCTCCCCCGTCACACCTCTCACACCTCTCTACCTTCCTGGCTTTTCCTCCGAAGGCAGAGGTCCCTCTGGTGCTTCCCAGTGGAGAATGTGGTGAATACAGTAGGTCCTCCCATCTCCCTCCAGCCATTGTTAGCCTTCAGTCCTCAGACTAACAAGACCTTCCTGCCTCCAGACCTTTGCAGAAGTTGGTACTTCTGATCTTTCTCTGTTCAGCAAACGTCTACCCATCTGCCAAAACCCAGCTCAAATGTGACTTCCTCTAAGAAGTCTGTCTAGGTGGGGTCAGGGCTCTTACTCTGAGCTCTCATTATTTCCTGGGATTTCTTTTCTCCAGATATTGATTACATGTGATTCCTTCCCTGGATTGGTAACTTTTCTAGGACTGGCAAAGTTCCATTTAGTAAGGGCTGAGTGAATGGCTGGGTTTGTAGAAGAGGTGAAGCTGGGGGCCCTGGGCCTTGTTGATAGCCCCATAAGGCTAAAGGCCACTGACAGACAGCAAGGAGGATGGCAGCCCAGAGAAGACATTTAATGGGGATCAGCAAATGATACTAAGGTTAAGCACCAACTGGCCCACAGTAGACACTCAATTAGTTGATTTTTGATGACTACTGATTTGATATGTCTTAGCAGTAGCTCTCATATACATCTTTAGAGCTGAAGAGACCTACAGATGTATAGATCACCTCCTCAGTTTCAAAGATGTGCTCTCTGGTAATGCAGCTTAAGATCACAGTAAGTTCTGGCAAGTCTGGCAAATAAAACATGCTATTAGCTACAGGTTTGTTGTCAGCAAAAATCTTTGAGGCTTTTATGAGCACTACTGCTAAACTAAGAATTAAATCAATAGTTATAAAAAATCAACTAACATGCTCTAACTTGCATTAGAGATACCATCACTATATTGTCCTGGGGGACTGCAGGGCACCCTTTGAAGGTCATTGACAGATGGGACTTTGTCAAGAGAACTTAATCCTTTCTCATGAGGAATGACTGGGAGAAGCGGCAGGGAGCGTGCCAGGAAAAGACAAGGAGCGCCATGCACGGTCTCTGACTTGTGAAGAATGGTCCTGGGCTGAGGGGTGCTCCTGGCCCCATGGCAAAGCTGGGGCTGTCAGGGAGTCCCAGGCAGGCTCCTGGGACACTGAAAGGAGGGGAGGGAGCAGGCCTCCCATCACGAGACGATGCCTCCAGTTGAGATGCTTAGACGGCATCCCACATTACCTCTGTAGTACATTTCAATAGTTAGAAGGCACACATTCTAGAATTATGTGGCCCTCAAATTAGAAAATGCCAGAATTCTAGGCTTCTGCCCTATAGTTTTAGGGCTCTGTGACCCTGAAAGCGAAATAATCCAGCCTGGGGACCTGGAGGTCCTCCTGGCCCAGAACCCACCAGCCCCCTGCTTCACATATCTCATGGAGTCCTTTCATCCACACCCCCACCTCACAGCCTCTCACATACCCAATATGCAGGTCTTACCCTCTGGCCAGGAGACTGTGACATGACACGAGACATAAGGGACTATCAGATAATTCATCAGAGAGGTTGATCCCGAAGCAGCAAACAATCCCTCTTCTTTCCTGTCTGAATTAACTCCTCATTCTCTATAGCTGGATTTCCTCCTGGATGGCCCTGACTGAGGCTAATGTTTGTTGGTCTAACTCCATCCCCACCCTGAAGATGAGGAAGGGAAGAGGAGGTGTCTGATCCCATTTTGGCTTGCATAACCCCTTCTCCAACAATAGAGATCGGAGTGGTGTGGGGAACAATGTCATCCCAATGGGAAGTCCCTCCATGTAGCTAACCTTAATCCTGCTATGTGCAATCAGAGCCCATTTCTTCTCCCACAGTCTGGGAGAACGCATCCAGGGTCACTGCCCCACCACAGAGAGGTCCAAAATGCCCTCCCAAGAGTTCCCTCCCACCCCCATCAGTCCCCCAACATCAGCAGGAATGATACAGCACCACTTACAAGAGTAGAGTATCTGAGATTATTGCAGACTTTATAGAAAACTGCTCGGGGGAGATCCAGATTTTCTGGGTATGGGGAGGGACGGCAGGCCTCACACCAATATACTAAAGGAAGGGTGACTTCCTGTGTGCAGACACTGCACAGGCCAGCCATTCTGCCTCACCTAAGGGGTGGGGAGTCAGGGAGAGGGGGTGTCTCCCCCACTCACCAATTGTGCTTTGGGATCTTGGAGAAGGCAGGGTGCTGAGGTTCTGACCCTGAACTAGGAGGGCTTGTGCCTGAGGCAGGAGGCAAGACCCCCTTCTCTTCCAGGAGATACACGGGGTGAGGTGGTGGTGGTGGCAGCGGCAGCGGCAAGGAATACCCAGGGGCAAAGAGCCACATGGGTGGGAAAGAGCATGGAGAAATCGGAGGGCAGGAGCTTCCGGCCCTTCAGATCCCACTCCCTGCCCCTCTCTGAGGCCAAGATACCCCACTATCCCTTTCACACACCCAAGCCTCTCTCCTTCCCCACAAGGATCTGCCAGTATGCACTGGGGGTGCATGACACCTGCACCTGCCTGGCAGGACTGAAAAGCTCGTCCTGGGAGAAAAAAGGGAGAAAAAGATGAGGACATCCCAGGGACACATTCCTCACTCTACCTTCACTAGTGAATGGCAGGGGTGGGTGCCGAGTGCCAGCATTTGGTATGGGGGAGCCAAGAGCCTAAGGCTTGGGCGGGAGATGAAAGTCAGATCAGGATGAAGAGCTGAGAGTTTGAGACTGGGAACAGGCACTGGGTATCGGGAGGTCAGCGCCCAGGTGGGAAAGGCTGAGTGAGAGTCGGCTCCATACTAAGGCTAGACGTGGTGTGCTTGTCCCTGGGATGGGAGAGACAGACTAGGAGCTGAGCCCCATGCCCCCATGCCTGGGTGGAGGAAGGGAGGGCCTGAGCCAGAGGCGGGGGTGGGTGAAGGGGGAGGCAGGGGTACGTAATATATCCTCAGATGAGGGGAGAGTGCCCAATCCTCAGAGCCCCAAGGTTGGGCCTCCATGTAGGATGGAGGGCCCTGAGCTCTGGGACCGGACAAAGGGCTCAAAGTGCACAAACCTCTCCTGATGGGGGTGCTCTGCTTCGAGACCAGAATGGAATGGGAGGGCCCAGGAGCCCCAGAGGGGACTGAGGGCTCCGAGCTGGAGGTGGGGGTCAGGGCAGTCTCAGGTGTTGGGACTCCAAGCACAGGGTGGTGGGGGCAGGTCTCAGAGCTCTAGCCTTGAAGGACAGAGTCTGTGTGAGCCCTGAGACGGGGAACGTACTTTGGGTGGTTCAGGAGGGAGGTTTCAGAAACCAGGGTGGGCGGGAGGGGTTTCTGGATTCGGACGGGCTATCTCTGGGTCTTTGACGGTGGGAGCTCTCGGAGGCGGGGACGAGGGGGTACAGCTTAGAGCCTCCGAGACGGGGTAAGGTCTCCGAGCTCCGGGCTCGCGGGCGTCTCATCTCCACGGCTTCAGGCCAGGCAGGGGCAGCCCCGAGCCCGCGGGCGCCGCTCAGAGCCCGGAGCCCGGGGAGGTGGCGCGGGAGCCGGCGGGCGCGGCTGGCGCGGGCGCGCGGCGCGGGTCTGCGTCCTGCTCGTAGCGGTAGTGGTAGCCCTCCATCTGGTCCCGGCACGCCTCGCGCAGGTTGCGCATCCAGCGCTGGATGCCGCGGCGGTTTAGGTAGAGCACCATGAGGAAGATGAGGCCGATGAGCGCCAGCACCAGCCCGAAGAACACGTAGGAGGCTTCCAGCTCCGGGCCGGCGGCCTCGCCCTCCTCCCCGCGAGCGTCGGCGCCGTTGTCCGCGCAGCGCAGCTGCGCCCCGTCCAGGTCCAGCAGCGGCCGGTCCAGGAGCGCCCGCGGAGCGGCGCAACGCAGGCGCCGCGCGTCGGGCACGCGCTCCGTGGCGTTGTGCAGCCAGGCCAGCAGGGGGCGCGCGGCACAGCCGCAGCGCAGGGGGTTGTCGGCGAGCAGCAGGCGCGGCCCGGAGAGGCCGCCATCGCGGTCCAGCCCGCGCAGCTCGTCGGGGCCCAGGCCGGCCAGCGCGTTGAAGCGCACGTCTAGCTGCTCCAGGCGCGCCAGGCGCAGAGCGGCGGGCGGAAGGCGGCTCAGCGCGTTGCCCGCAAGGCCCAGCAAGCGAAGTTCGGCCAGCGGGGCCAGCGCGACGTCCAGCGCGGCCAGCAGCGCGGGGCCGCCCCGCACCAGCGCGTAGTTGAGCTGCAGCGAGCGCAACGCTGGCAGCCCGCGGAAGGCGCCGCCGCCCAGGGCGCGCAGCGGGTTGTGGCTGAGGTCGAGCGCTGTCAGGCTGGGCAGCCCGTCGAAGGCGCCGTCCTCCACCACCTCGATGTGGTTGTGTGTGAGGCGCAGCGCGCTCAGGAGTGGCAGGCGCACGCCGCCCGCCTGGTCTCCGTCCCCGTCCGCGTCCCCGCCGGCGAAGGCGGCCGCGCGCAGCACCGTCAGGTTGGCGCCCACGATGGTGAGGTTGCGCGCGTCGGGCGGCACGTCCTGTGGAGGCTGGCGGAGCTCGGCGCCCGACGCGCAGCGCAGCAGCACCTTGGGGCCGCCGAAGCAGTAGCACTGGAAGGGACAGGGTGCCGCGGGCTGGCTCAGCGCCGCCGCCACGATCAGTAGCCCCTGGAACCCCGGCTGTCCCGCGCGCGGGGCCATCGCGGCCGCCCCCGCATCCAGCGCCTGGGCGGCCGCGCTCACCAGTGAGTTGGGAGCGCCTGGTGGGGGGCACGGGTGGGGCGAGTCCTTGACCCCGAGCGTCTGGCAGTCCCGGTCGGTCTGTTCGCTGTCTCGAAAGTCCGCGGAGCCGCACTTACTGGCTGATTGGCCGGGGGCGAGAGGGGTCAGATGGGGAGCGGAGCCCCCCGCCCCCGGTGCCCTCGCCCTGTGCGCCGGCCTCCGACTTCCGCGGCCGCCTGGGCTCGGAGCCGAGTGGGCAGGGTTTGCCTCCCCCCTCCCCGCCTCCCGGCCTCCTCCTCCGCCCCCCAGCGGAGTCTCCGCGCCCGTCTCGCTGGGGGAGGCGGAGTGGGAGGCTCCTGAGAATCAGGGTTCTCGGCTGCTGCGTTTTCTCTTCACCCTTTCCGGCTCCCGGGCTGCTGAGAAGTTTGGCTCCCAGAGGCTCCGACTTGCTTTCCCCTCCCCCTCGACCTCCACCTCGGACATTTAAGCTGGGCCTTTCCTCCTCCCTCTCTGGCACGTGTGGGGCGGGGCCCGGCTGGGGAGAGCAGGCAGGTGGGTAACCACCAGGGAGAATTCGGGGGTTGGGGAGGACTTTAGAGCTGCCGCTACTACAGGAGGCAGGGTTGAGGGGTGGGCTGAGAAAGTTACTAATTTTCCAGCCTCTTCCTAACCTTCAATCAGAGAGAGAGACTGGAAAATCCCCAGCCTCTGCTTCCTCCTCTGCGATCCTAGTTCCGTTAGACCTGGCTGTGTCACCACCCCTGCAGGAGCTGTGGGACCAGCTTTTTCTCCGTCCCATCCCATCCCATCCCATCCCACTCTTAGGAGAAGTCTGTGGCCCCCGTTCCCCTCCCACTCACCAACTCTGGCTGCTCTGCCTCTGCCATGAGTTCCCTCATATGGTTTCCTCCACCGAGCTGGACTCCTCTGCCAAGCACTGTCCTAGGCACAGGGAACAGGGGTGTAATGATTCTGCTCTTTGCTTTCATTCCCTGCCCCCAAACCTCTTAGACCCTTGGGGTTCCATTGGGCACCGTCAACCAGTCCCTCCAGGCTTCACCTGTGAGTGGGGTTTGGGGCACCAGAGGTTAGGAGAGCAGGAGCAGATTTTGCAGCTTGGAGTTGGAGGTCTCAGAAGGGGCAGGGCTGAGATGGGGGCTGAGCTGTTTACAGATTTGTTTTGTTCTGGATTTTTTTTTCCCCCAAGAACTGGGAAGCTCCAAACCTGATTTAAAGAGACAGGCTCCTGAGAAGGGAGCATTCCTGGCCTTGGCATGAATTATTCAGGCTAGAGAGGCTGACACTTGATCCGTAGGCCATTCGGGTATCAGCAGAGCTGGTTGGGATAGAGGCTCCCCCCTCCTCCCAAGAATCAGTCTCTTTCTCCTGAACTGGGGACTGTTGTTTTGTTGACTCCTTCCCTGAGGTTATATTTAACAGATCGACCAAAAGATCAATACCACTTAAGGAGAAGAGGCAGACCCTGCAGTGGCCCGGGTCTTGGGCAAGGACCAACATTAAGGAGCAGGGCTGGTGATGGTGGGGATTCCCCAGCTCTCCCCTTCTCCCAGCCCTCTCTCTTCACTACCCCTGTCATAACTCTCCCAGGTATCAGAGCTCAGATGTGCCTCATGCAAGTCCATGCAGACTCATTTATACATGTGCACATAGGATCACAGCTTTGAGTACATCCGGGCATGTGTCCATAGATTCATAAACACATACATGTTTGAATATGCACACTTCTGAGCCCATGCAGGTTCCTGGGTGCATTCTCAGAGGGCAAGCTTACAGGCCCGTGCATAAGCCATGCCAAGCATAGGCGCTCAGAGATTGGCTGGCAGAGTCAGACCCTACTCCTCCCGCCCTGCACCATGCCCTTGGTCTGTGGAGGTAACAGGCTGGTGATGTCTTTTCTCACATGGGCACACGTGCTCAAGTGGATGCTATTGGGGCTGGGCCCCCAGCCTATAGCACTCCCCTAAACCCTGGCCCACAGAGCAGCATGCCCCAGCTCTGACATCTCCCCAGTGGGGAGGCACTGAGTCTTCTTCACTTTTGTGTTTCCAGCACAGGGACTAGCACAAGAGAGTGAAGTAATGAATATTTGTGAACAAATGACAGAGCGAATGAACAGAACAATCTCTGTTACTTTGTCTGCTTCCAGCCCCTGAGGAATCACAGAGCACTGCCAAGCCCAGAGGTCCTTTCCTAGGCCCCCGTGGTGGCTGGCTTCAGATTGGCTGATGCCCTCCCAGGAAAGGAGCTACAGGGTCACAGGCAGCCTTGATTGAGGAGTGCTTGACACCTCATTTGAGGAAATGAGGCCTGGAGAGAATTTAGAATCATCAGGTGCCAGAGAATAAGGCAAATGGCCTCTGAATTGCACAAATGGGGAAATAAGCCAGAGGGGCCCCAAGGCCTCTGTCAAGGTTTCAAGGTTTAGCCTAGAAAACTGGTCCTAGGGTCCTTGCCCAGGACTTTGTTCAAGATGGTGGGCTGCATCTGAGAGAATCCTGCACCACAGGGAAGTCTCGTCCTGACCCCAGGAAGCTGAGGCTGAGAATGGATGGTCTGGTGTGACTCAGGCCTCTCTCAGTCTTGGTCTGTCACCTTTCTGTTCTATAAGGCAGATAGGCTTTGAATTCCTGTTCTTATTTGTCTCAGGGCTGTTATGATAAAGTGAATTGAAAGTGCTTCAGAACAAGAAAAACCATTTCACCTGGGTGTCGGGGCCTAGCACCCATCCTGCTGGACCCTGGATAAGGCATTTCCCATCTCTGGGACTAATTAGCTCCCGTGCTGTTTTTCCCTGTTCCATGTTCTTTGCTTCCCCAACACAGCAAATGCATGGTGGATGTTAATAAAATGAGTCTCTGCTTGTCTCTTTGTGGCCTCTACCCAGCCTCCTCTCCTCTCTTTCCACTTTGTATAGGTGTTTCCCTTCTAAATTCTCCTGACACCAATTTCTCTCTCTCCTTGTTCCCCAAGGAACCAAGTCTGTGAGCCGTTTGGGGCCAAGGGATGTCTGTTCTTGGGAGGAACAGTACTGTCTATCTTGGATTTGCCAGTGTTCAGTATGCATTAAGTGTACAATAAATGTGTGTTCACTTGAGTCTGAGGCTGTGTGTTTATTCTCTGATGCATCTGGTGGAAGTCTGTTTTCTTGGACTGTTTGCCCCAGCTGGGATGCTCTTCTCTTGATTCTGTTTCTCCAGTCCAGGCCGCTGTCCCTCAGGACTTGTGAGTTTTGCCCCCTTCAGGAAGCCCTCATGGCTTCCTTCTCCATCCTTTGAACTTAATTTATCAATCAGAGGGCTAAGACTCCCCTGAACTTCTTGACTGTCAGCAACTGGGGCTCAGAACTCATCTAATTTCTCAGGGCTCAGTACAGAAAAGGCACCAGAAAACATTTGCTGAATGAAATAATGATTTACAAATCTGTGGCTCGAGCCTCCCAGCCCTGTGAGGCAAGCTCGGTGAGGATCCTCATCTACACCTCACACCAGGAGATAGGCACCCAGAAAGCTTAAGTGCTTTCCCCAAGCTGGCATAGCTGACTGGGACCTGAGCCCAATAGAAGCTCAGGTTTCTTGCTCATCTCCTGTGCCGCAGCCTCCCTCATCCTAGGATCCCTGTCTCCTGGGAGTGTGGCTGGGTCAGATCCCAGGGGAGCCTGTGGACAAAGCTCACACCCTCAGGGTTTCTGTAGGACTCGGAAGAAGTGAGGCACCCCTACGCACCCCAGCAGAGTGATTATCTGCCCTATGCCCAGATGAGGATCCCCCATGTCAGCCACACTGGATCTCCGTGCTTGAATTTATTACTCCAGTAGGTCCAAGAGCCCCTCCCTGAGCATTTCAACATGTTGTCCCTATCTAAATCTCTAGCGCCTTCACTGGGCCTTTTCTGCTGGCACAGACCCTGCTCTTGGTAATCTCCATTAAGCCTTAGTAGGGAGCACAAAGTGTGATGATGTCCCTAAGATCACCCAGCAGGTAGCCCCTTCTCCAGCTCCATTTTGTCATCAGAGGTGTCTCAATATGATTAAAGTCCTTGGACACACTTCAGTTTCCTTGTCTGCAAAAAAGTGTGTGGATGGGATGGTCTTGGGAAGACTAGTAATCTTGTCCCCCTTGGCTTTTTAGGGATGGGGATCAGGGAGGGGAAGGTCATACTGGGATTGGACCAAACTGGTGTCCCCACCTTCTCAGTATATGACCTTGAATTGGCACTACCCCAATTAAGGCCTTGGTTACCTGACTAGAAAGTGGTAGGGGTGGCCTGGGGTCCTTCTGGGGTGGGTGCTGTAGCATCCTGAGATCCAGGCTCCCTTTGTCCTCTGTCCTGGCACCCCTCCTGCTGCCTCCCCATCCCTCTGTTCCCCCCTCCTCTGAGGCAAATGGAGGAGCAGCAGGCAGCCTGACATGATGAACTCAGCCATGAGATAGCGAGGGAGGCCCCAGCTTCTCTCCTCTTGCTTGGTTTCCTTTCCAGCAGGGACGGGAAACTTCACTGTGGGCCTTGCCATTTCCATTTCTCACTCCCCTTCCCCTCCCCCGACTGCCATGAGACACAGGAAAATCCATAGGCCCAAGATTCATTACTCTGTTGAGTCAGCAGAGGCCAGTGCTGCTTCTGAGGGGCAGGCAACTGGCTTTTAAATAACTCTCTGATATTTAATACCCTCCTTCTCTGCTCTGTGGCCTGGGCCTCTGGGGAAAGGCTAGAATAAATGAACTGGATGCGTCCTCTGAAAGTTCTCAGTGTTCTTGCCCCCACCTCGGTCTTCCCCCAAACCCCAACTCTCAAACCATTGGAAAAGATGACTCCATACTCCATCTATACCTTACTTTACAGTTTCTAAGTGGCATCCAGGCTGGGTTTGTTATCCAAGTTTAGAATGGGAAATGGAAGTTTAGAAAAGGAGAGAGACCCCACATCTTGACTTTTGGCCTTTGCTGTTGGCTGGCTGTGTGGCTGTGGACAGGTGGGTCCCTGTCCCTCCCTGGGGTTCTGTTTCGTCACCTGTGCTGCAAGGTGCTTCGACCAGTGGGTTGTTGGTGGTCCCCCTTGGTGTGTAATGTTATGATTTTGCTCTGCTGGTCTAGGTCTCCTTCTCTAATGAAGCCTCTGTTTCTGCACTCCTCTTCAAGAAGAGACTAAAGGACAAAGCAGACTGAGGCTAAAGGCCAGCTATGGTGTGGTCCCTAGTATTCCACACTGTTGAGTTAGGGACAGGAGTGGGTGGGGGAGAAGGGGAAGGGAAAGGAGGAGAGTTGGGTGCCTTCCCTCCCCTCCTCTCCCCTCCCCTCCCCTTTAGTTATTTTTGCTTTTGCAAGTAGAGGTTGGGACAGACCAAGGGCAATAATAATGTGTCTTGGTTCTCTTAAAACCCAAGGTCTCTACAGCTGTGGATGCAGTTTAATGAGGTAAGAGCAAACCCTCTTCCTCAACTGTGCCCAGGCCCAGGCTCTTGATAATGGAAGTTAGTGGGCCTAGTTCTCCAGGCTCTACCACTGTTCTGCATTATTCAGAAGACAGGGATTGATATCTCTGTTGGCTATATGAGAACGTTGGGAGGTTAAGAGCTGTGCTTGGGGT